TATTAGTATTCTGGTTCATTTGCATGGCCCGTGCGCAGCGCTTGATTCATTAGCATACCCCCTATTAGTATTCAGATTTATTCCTGTACCCAGGGTGCATCGCGCGCCGGCGGAGCGGCCCCTGTCGCGCTTTCCGCGGCTGCTCCCCGGTACCGCCGGTGTCCGGGCGCGGGCTGGGTCCCCGTCTGTGCCCGGGAACAGGCCGGCGCGGCGGGAGAGCCAGGCAGCATGCCCCCAAGTCGCCGTGTTCTGGAGAGGGACAGCCGAGGGACGGTGTGTACGCGTGAGCGGCTCTTGGTATACTCTGGTTTCTCTTCAGATCGTATAAATCTTTCGCCTTTTACTAAAGATTTCCGTGGAGAGGAACAGGCACGAGTGTCGAGAAATTTTTTGAGGCTCCATTTCGGTGGAGCTACCCCTATTCTTGTTCAAAGATAGACTGAAAAAGTAAACTTTTACAGGGGCTCTCAGCTTTCTACTCAGGTAGTACAAACTGAGTGAACTAGGTGTAATGGGATATGTAATGCCATAACTAGCAAAAGTGGTAATTGAGATCTCCGCCACCGTCCGTGTCCGGACGTTATACCCAGGTGGAGAGAGATGACATACGCTGTCCCTCAGGGCTGTGTGTTGGGACTGGCTGGGGCTTTTAATATCAATGACACAGACAATGGGAGTGAGTGCACCCGCAGCCAGTTTACAAGCTGAGTGGTGTGGGTGACACACCTGAAGGACAGGGTGCCGTCTAGGACGACCTGGACAAACTTGGGCCCACAAGAACCTCAGGAAGTTCATCAAGTCCAAGTGCCCTGCGCTGCCTGTGGGTCTGGACAATGCCAGACAAAAAAAAAAAAAAAACAACTGGAGAACACATGCTGGAAAACTCACTGAGACTAGGTCTGATGAGAAAGAACTGGGGGTTCTTATGGGTGAAAAGCTGGACATGAACCAAGAGCGAGCAGTCGCAGCCCAGAAAGCCAAATGCATCCTGGACAGCAGGTCAGAGGAGGCAATTCTGCCCTTTCATGATGAATCCAGCTCTCTGGTCCCCTGTACAGGAAAGACATGGATATGTTGGAGCAAATCTGGAGGAAGCTGTGAAGACGATCAGAGGGCTGGAGCCTCTCTCCTGTGAAGACAAGCTGAGACACCTGGGGTTGTTGAGCCTGGTAGAGAAAAGGTTTTGGAGAGATCTTACTGAGGCCTTCCAGTACTAAAAGGGGCCTATAAAACAAAGAGAGAATGCCTTTATAAAAAGGCATGTAGTGACAAGGCAAAAGAGAATGCTTTAAAATTAAAAGAGGAGAGCTTTAGGTTGAATATAAAAAGGAATTCTTTACTGCGAGGGTAGCAAGGCACTGGAATAGGCTGCTCAGGGAAGTTGTGGCTGCCCTACCCCTGGAAGTGCTCAAGACCAGGTCGGATAGGGCTTTGAGCGATCTGGTCTAGTAGGAGATGTGCCTACTCATGGCACAGGGATGGGAACTAGATGATCTTTAAGGTCCCGTTCAATCTAGACCATTCTGTGATTCTATTTTATTTTCCTTACAACTTTTAATTTAATACTACTTCGCTTTAATTATTAAACTCCTTATTCTCAACCCATGCGTGTCTCCCTTCTGTCCCTCCCGCGGCGTGGCGGCAGCCAGCGAGGGGTTCCACGGTGCCCCGCTCGGGTCAAACCACTACGGGAACGCGCTAGCCCTGCTGAGACTGAGCTGCCCCGCCCCGTTACCGCTGATTTGCATACCCAGGGTGCCCCGCGGTGCCGCCGGTGTCCGGCCCCGCTGTGTCCGGTGCTGCGGCCGCTGTCCCGGGCTGTGGGGGCTGTCCGGTGTGTACCCCCACCCGGGGCTGGTTCGGGGCTGCGGGGCTGGGAGCGGCGCGGGGGGAGCCGTGCGTCGCCCTGACCTGTGCGGGGGGGAGCAGATGGCGCCAACGTCGGGGAAGGGAATGGCGGTATACTCTGGTTTCTCTTCAGATCGTATAAATCTTTCGCCTTTTACTAAAGATTTCCGTGGAGAGGAACAGGCACGAGTGTCGAGAAATTTTTTGAGGCTCCATTTCGGTGGAGCTACCCCTATTCTGGTCAAAAAAAGATGAATAAAACACGCGTGTAAGGTGCTCTCAGCGATGTACACGGGCAGCGGCAGCTGAGAAAAGTATTATGGAGAGTGTAATGCATTAGCTAGCAAAAGCGGAAATTGAATCCTCCACTGCCATCCGTGTCCAGGTTTCACGGACAGATTATAGGAATTAGTTGGATGGGTGCGGGTCAGGGCGCTATGGGCACTGGCGTTATACCCAGGTAGTAACAAACGCTGTCCCTCAAGGCTGTGTCTTGGGACTGGCTGGGGCGTTTAATATCTTTATCGATGACACAGACATTGGCAGTTGAGAGCACCCGCAGCCAGTTTACAAGCTGAGTGGTGTGGGTGACGCACCTGAAGGACAGGCTGCCATCTCTCAACCCATGAGTGTCTCCCTTCTGTCCCTCCCGCGGCGTGGCGGCAGCCAGCGAGGGATTCCACGGTGCCCCGCTGGGGTCAAACCACGCCGGGAACGCGCTAGCCCTGCTGAGGCTGAGCTGGGACGCTCCGCCCCGTTACCGCTGATTTGCATACCCAGGGTGCCCCGCGGTGCCGCCGGTGTCCGGCCCCGCTGTGTCCGGTGCTGCGGCCGCTGTCCCGGGCTGTGGGGGCTGTCCGGTGTGTGCCCCCACCCGGGGCTGGGCCGGGGCTGTGGGGTCGGGAGCGGCGCGGGGGGAGCCGTGCGTCGCCCTGACCTGTGCGGGGGGGAGCAGATGGCGCCAACATCGGGAAGGAGACGGTGGCATACTCTGGTTTCTCTTCAGATCGTATAAATCTTTCGCCTTTTACTAAAGATTTCCGTGGAGAGGAACAGGCACGAGTGTCGAGAAATTTTTTGAGGCTCCATTTCGGTGGAGCTACCCCTGTTCTAGTCAAAAGTAGAAAAAACATTTATTTTGCAAGGTTATTCGCATCTGAGATGTCAAAAGACGTCACGTCTGCCCAATCTCGCCGGGGTCTTCAGCCGCACCTCGATACTCCACTAGCGCCGAGCCCCCCAGGAGTGACGCCTCCGCCCGCCCCAAGCCGCACTCCCGCGGCAGGGCTGCTCCTCCCTGCCTCCCTGCCTCCCTGCCTCCCTGCCTCCCTGCCTCCCTGCCTCCCTGCCTCCCTGCCTCCCTGCCTCCCTGCCTCGGGCGCAGCGGCGCTGTCCGCTCTCCGGAACTCCATCTCCCGACAGCCGCGCCCCGCCGCCAGGCCTGCCGGGAGATGTAGTCCCACGGCCACTCCCGGCAGGCCGCGCGGCACGGCGGCGCGCGGTTTAAACCGGCGGCGGTTGCTGTGCGGGTGCCTCGCTGCTGGGGCGGGACGCGGTTCCTGTCCCCGAGCTATGGACTCCCGCCTCTGCCGCAACGTCTATCCCGGCGTCGTTATTAACATCCAGCGGAGCAGTGGTGAGGAGTGGGGAATGGGGCGTCTGCGGGCTCTCGGCCTCCGCCGCCTGCGGGAGTCCCGGCGGCGTGGGGCGGCCAGGTTTGAGCTTAATGCTGGCTTTTTCCAGGCTTAATCCATAAGGCCACGGTGAAGGTGGTGAACGTAGAGCACTCCTGCGTGATCGTGGAGTGGAGTGAGAGCGGTGACATTAAAGGCAAGGAGGTGAGTGCGGGCTGCTCGCGGCTCCTTCCTTCCCCGGGTGCTCCGACGCCGCCGGGCCCGGGCAGCCCGAGGCTCGTCCGGAGCGGGCGGGCAGCAGCTCGCTCCGTGCCCTCCTTGTTTTACACATAATGAAAGCAATGCTCTAAATGTGCCGAGGTAAAATGTGAGAGCTGCAGTGCCAAAGCTGTACCCTTTGCCTTTCCGAGGGATCAAGGAGGTGTTGGGCCTATCGCACTGTCGACTCCTAATGCTCCCAAGATTCCAGTTTTCCAGCTCTGTTTGTTGGCTTTCCATGTCTTACATTATGGCCTTCAGGGTCTCCTTAAAATCTGTTACTAATAAGGTGCTGGGTTTGATTTCCTGAATTTCTGCACCAATATGAAATAAATCCAGTGTGAGATGGGATGGGAGAGAGGGGGGTCTGGGGTATTTGAAGGTTATGTGGCTGAATTCCTGACACTTAAACAAGTCTGATACTCAGCAAATGTACTTGTCCTTCTGGTCTCTCTAGAAATATGTGGACTCTGGATTTCAGTGAAAATCTTAAAAGTTGCCCTTAGCTGGTTGTTAGAAACCAAGCCTTACTCTGTGCATGTGCCTGCTGCATTCAAATAGAAAAAAAAATACAGATTTGGGTATAATAGCTAAATTGCATTTATGTGTTAAGATGTTAAATATTTAGGAAGATACTTCAAAATACAACAATTTTCTTATGTGCTTTTGTGTATATGCTGTGCATGTGATGAGTAGAGGCAGAATTGACTTCACATGGGGGTCAGTCAGGAATAGCTGGTCCCAGGTGCAATTGTTTGCAGTAGTAAGTGATGATACAGGTGAATTAAGTTATGGATTAAATGCTGAATCCTTCATTTCCCAGAGTCTAAGCAGCTCTTTGACGTTTATTTCGGTAAGCACAATCACACAGTAAACACTTAATGCTATCCTAGCACAGAAGTTACAGAGCTGCTGAGATTTACTAAGATTAGCAGTGGGAGATTAGAGCAGGGGATGCCAAATGGGCTTTGCCCTTCTCTTCAGAAGTGCTCTATGGCACCTGCAGAGCTGTGTGGTGTTTGGCAGATGAAGGTAAATGGCTTAACTAGCACATTTTGTCTGGTGTATTTAGATGTACCAGATTGTTCAAATGGAATAGGAACTACGGTTTTGCTCTTCCAAGCAATTTTAATGTAACGTTTGGCAGGCAGTGGGTCAAGTTTGTTTGCCTTCACTGAAAGTCCAGATTAGAAAAAATACCAGTCTCTAAGTGGAAGCAGCAGTATTCTACCATGTGAAATCCTGCCTTTGCTCTTGCAGGTTGGTATTAGTGATGTCATTGCAATAAATCCTGAATTATTAGAACTACCTCCCGCTGATGTGAAAGAGAATGTTCCCGTGCAAGACAACGTAACTTCACAGGTAGGTGCTTTAAAGTAGTTTTGTTTTTTCTAAGGTACTTATGCATTGGTCTTGTTCTATATAATACTCTCAGTCTTAAAATTTGAGATCTCTAACTTGCTGTCCTGTCTCATAGCTAGGCTTTCATCAGAAATTCTTGTCATATTGATGTTGCCCTGAAGAGCAATGCTAGGCATTTGCTGTTTACTCCAATTGCTTACAGCATTCCTTGTTTTTCAGAAACAGAAGCGTAGAACAACCCTCTCAAAAATTCCTGCTCCTCGAGAAGGTGAGAAAATGTCCTTTTTTTTTTTTTTTCCTCTGCTATGCCCTTGTGGATCTTTCACTGGGGCCATAGTATTGTACTTTAGTACATCTTTTAGGCAGTGCTAACAAATGTTTCATACCAATGTTTTGGACTCCTGAGGGCAGGAACTCTCCTAACAGGTTGCTGTCCTGCTCCTGTGGGCTTTGTTGATGTGTCCTTCTCTTCTGCAGTATTCCTGTAGTTATTCCCTGCTTTAAATGTCACTAGGCAGTTGCTGTTGCAGTGAGTTTGAAAGCTCTGCATGGAGCTTTGAAAATGCCACAAACAACAGAAGTTAAGTGGCAATTATTAAGATTAAAAGCGTCAGAATGAGAGTCAAAAGTATAAGGAAGAAACAATGGTGACAAATGTATGTCTCCTCACTAAGCAGCCTCCCTGGACAATAAGTAGAGCTTTATGCTTGGAGACCTTTCAGAGCAGGCAGCCAAAGTGCCAGCTGGTGTGCCCAGCTCCCTGATTGCATGTCAGTACAATGTGTTGGGCAAAGCCAGAAGGGTAGATAGAGACGTTACTGTGGCATTGCTAAGAAATTGTTCTTCCTGAGGTGTCAGGAGTTAGAAAATGCCTATTTTCTACCTTCTCTTAGCTTTATCAGCTGACTCTTTAGGCTTTTTAAATTGCAAATGGCAGCATTACAGGTCTATTTGTAATACACTGTATGATGCTGAGGTTGAATGATTGCTGATTTAATGATTCTCTTAAAGAGCATAGTTAGCCAAAACTTGTGCTTCTCCATTCAATTGAGCTGTAAACAAAACATCTGGGTATGTTTGGCCTCTTCTGTTGCATGCAATGTGAGACAGGGAAGCTGGTCCCAGAAGACAACAGTACAAATTCCCTGGCGTCAGAGAGGCAGGAGTTATCCAAGAATCCTAATGTGTAAGAAGCTGTTCTGTACTGGAGTACAGTACAGATCCTGATCTTTCTCAAATTCAGAGAACTCCATAAATTTTGTGACCTGACAAGCAAAATGATGTTAAGTCATAACTGTCTATATATAGGTCTGTTAATAGAACTGGATAGCCAGCTGGAAAACACAATGTGTGTTAATCCAGTCACTGGTTGATGGAAACATGTCCTTGCAGAGGTCACAGCTCTCCTGAGGTATAGAATCTAATTGCATAACTGAAATATCTGTTGCCTGTCCTAGTGGCACAGTCTTGTCCCTGCTCAGAGCTTAGAGCAGCAGTGTTTACAGTATTCATCAAATAATTTCTGTTGTTAAAACTAGCTAAGGCCCAGGAGCGTCAGAGTGTCTGTCCTGTTGCAAACTCTGCACTGCACTATTTAGAAAGCTAACATCAGCTTCTCTCATGTTCTTAGACTAAACAAATTAAGGAAGATCAGCAGGTGTTGGTCTCCCTCTTATCCAGGAAAGGAGAGAAGCAGAAGCAGTGCTTTCAGAGTTAATTAAGGAATAGATATTCCCTCAGTCCCATGAATCAATAGGAATTTTTGAGGATGCTGAATATCCTCACATACAAGAATCACCTGAATCAAACCCATTTAGATGGAGTGAATCCTCCAGTTAATCTGCCTGTCCAGGAGCACCAGCATTTATAGAAACAGTGCTGTTGAGTGTGAGATGAGATCAGGCCTGGGCATGTGGGACAAGAGAGAATGGAATAAAATGCCCTTTCTGAGTATAATGAAAATGATGCTTTTTGTTTCTAAAATTGCAGAAGTCACATTTAATATCTCTGCAAATGAGCAGAAGATTCAAGGTAAAGAGTTAATGGGAACAATGAGTTTTGTGTATGGTTTTAAGGAATTTGATTCAGAATTGGAAAGAACCCTTGGTCTCCAACAGATTTGGTATCCTTTGAAATAAGTGATTCATTCTGGATAAGTTCTAATAATTGCTGGTCACAAGAGGTGAAGGGAGTTCTAGCTTGCATATCACACTTTCTTTTTCATATCAGATTTGCTTTTTTTTTAAACTATTGAGGTAAACATTCCAAGCCTTGTCCTAGGAAGCTTTGTAAAGGACTTGATCTCAGTGAAAGAAATACCTTGGCATGTGAAAACGGGGTCTGCCTACAAAGGGACCTTTTTCAAAGATTTGCTGTTGTAGTTATACAGTGTTTTTTAGCTGAATGTAGTGCCATGGAGCTCTCAGCCTACTGTGCACCACACAGCCTGTGTGTGGGTGCCCTCATGGTGGGTGGGCACAGTGCTGCCCGTGGCCAGTTGCCAGGCTGCTGTGCCCATGTCACTATCAAAGAGTTAATTCATGCAGCCCTGCAAGTGTGAAGCTTCAGAGCATTTAGTGATTTTCTGACTTAAAACTTCCTGCTTCCTAGGTATTGTTAGGGTGCTGGAACTGCCATATCCTTATGTGAATCCTTAGTGGGATCTGAAACAAACTCCCTGGAATTGCAAATCTGAAATGAACTGTTTGCTTTTCTGTAGTGGTGGGTTTATTGACCACTTTTCACCCACACCCATTGCTTTGTCCTGCACTTTGCTAATGGGAAAGATCCTTTTAACCACACCTTCTTCTCCACTGCTCTGTACTTTGTGAACAACTGATTAATTGCAAGTGTCTGAGTGTCCCTGGATTCCTGTTTCCAAAGCTGTGCGTGGCCGTTCCAGGATGTCTACTCTCACAGAACCCCAGTGTGGCTTCCAGGAAGATGAAATGGCAGTAGATCCCTCCACTTCTGTGCAAACCAGAAAATATTTGGCTGGTAAGTGGAGAAACAGAAAGTAATTGCTGGTAAGATGTCACCCTGGTTTTTTAAGATTTTCTAAGCCTTCTGATGTTGACATTCTTGTAGTGAACTTTCTCACACGCTTTCTGTAAATAACTCATTGTTTTTCATTCCTTTATGGAGGAGGAGAGAGTTGATGGACTGTTGGTTTGACCAGTGTCATTGCAGAGGTGTCACTGTCACCTTCCAATCCGCTGTCACTTTTGTAAAACTATAAATATCGGAGTCAGAGAATAAAACTTCCCTTTTTTCCTTCACCTTGAGAGCGGTGATGTGCTTGTGTTCTTTCGTGTCCTTCAGTGACAGTAAGTGGAGAAACAGTCCAGTGAATTCTTAATGTGAAACAATTTTCACTTTTGAGTGCATTTAATTATTCAAACTGCAAATCTCAGTGGGAGAGCAACCTGAACTTTTTCATAGATAAAATGAGACCTAGAGGTTTGCCCCTATGCAAATATCTAGGGCTCCTGCCTGAAGTGTTTTCCAAAGGAATTTGGAAACAATGTTGTGCATAATGATGTACTTTCTTAGCCAGAGAGCTGTGGTTGGGCAAATTGGGTGGATGTGCTATCTGCTTAATGACATAAAAAGGTATTCATGGTGCTAGAGTGGGAAGAGAAGTGCCTAAACACTGCTGACAACACACACTGTAACTGTATTGGTATTAGTTTTACCTATACTGGCTGAGTAAAGCAAGAACTTGAGCCGCCTTGAATTACAAAGTTGTAGTTATTTATTTTATTAGACTACCCTAAAAATAGCTGAAGGCATGCCTTGCATGTTAAGTTATACAAAAACACTGAAATAAGAGGCTTGATAGTAAATTCTTGTCTAGTTGGTTTGGCCTTGAGTCGCAGCATTGCGTGAGATGGTTTTTGGCAAAGGATTTAAAAGTTTACTTGCACATTTACCACAGGCTTTAGATAGTTCACTCTCCTGCTGCAGGAGTTGAGAAATGCCTGTCGTCTATGAGGCTTTACAAATTACAAAATTATTCTTGGTCTTTGCAATCTAACTATTGGTTTTGGTCTTTGGCTTCTTTGCTTCTTTCTGCAGCCGGCAGAACCAGGCCTACTGGGCTGAGTTGTGTTCCAGAAGCTTCCCTGGAAAATGTAAATGGAAATCCAGAGAATCATCTGCCTGCTGCTAGAACCAACTGTTCAGTGAGCCCAGGTACGTGGGAGCAGTGGGTAAAGACTGACTCATCAGTCAGCAGTGAATCACTGTGATTGCTGCTTTGTGTACTCAGACTAAAGCTTTGAAAAGGTGACTTTGGCAGCAAGACAGAATATCTTGACCGCTTTTTATTACAGATGTGCAATTCTGTTGCAGTGGTATTGCCTCAGAAATGCTGCCTTTGCTTTAGGGTGGTAGTGTGACTTCTGAGGTAGTTTCTGTGATAGTTAGATCTGATTTGGGAAGGAAGTGCTGCAAAATTAATGGCCATCCTTCTGAAGATGATTGTTTCCTGTATGAGCTACTCTGTCAGCAACCTGGAAAAGCTGAAATATTTGTCTTATGCTTAAAACCTAGCATGAAATTTTAACCCAAGGAACTGTTTTCATTTTATCTAGTTCGAAGAAGATCTAACATTGTGAAAGAGATGGAGAAAATGAGAACCAAGAGAGAAGAAAAGAGAGCTCAAAATAGTGAAATCAGGATAAAACGAGCACAGGTGGAGTACTCTACAATGCACCTGTAAGGGGAAATTCTGTAGGACCCTGGACTACAGGAGTTGAAACCAAAACATATTTTGGACAGGCTTTGTTCTTAGAAAGCTCTACATAAGGATGGATTGATTCTGATTTTAGGAAGTTGTGAATCTTGTAAAATGCTTTGAATTGCATACACCTGCTTGTTTAATAGTCTCTGTGGCCTTTTTTTGCTGTAACAGATCAATTGCATTCACATCCATGGTTTTCCATGCAGGAGTTTGACAGCAGCTATCCAAACTGGGAGTTTGCACGTATGATCCAGTCATTCAGAGCAACTTTAAACTGCCAGCCAATATCTATAAGTGATCCAGTAAGTAAATACTGAGGCTACTAACTGCAGCCTGGGGACAGACTTCTCTGTTTTGTACTGAAAATGTTGGCATCAAGCAGTTGGTGCATCGCTGCACCTTGGAAATCCTCTGAGCATATTGAGGAAGTTGGGGTATCTGTAAGGTCACTTGCCTTCCCTATTTAGGGCTAAGCTGTCTTGTTTTACTTTGTCACTAGTGAAGAGTCTGTGGTTCAACAATTATCATGCAATGATGTGTGACCATCAGTTGCACAGCCATCATTGTAGGAATAGGTACAATTTAAAATGGTCTATTGACCTATTACAGAACATGCTAATCGATTTTTAAATATGTCAAAAAGTGGAGGAGCAAAAGTAGAGGTTGAAAACTAGAGAACCCTGGCTTGGTCAGTACCCTCAGCCATTAAAAAACCCTGTGTTCCTATTGCTGTGTGTGACAGGAGAGGAACTTGTTACCTTTCCCTTCTGTCTCACCCAATGGCATATGCACTTCCCATCTCATCTGATGTGTAGCTGTGCTGCACAAATAACTCAACTTGCTGCATCAATAAAGAACTCCAGGTTACCAAAAACCTGTGGGGTAAATGAAAATCTTAATTTGCCTGAATAATTACTTGACCATAGCTGCAGTTTTGATATCATAAATTTTGCTGGAAAGCATTTCTATCTTACATGTTGGAGAATGCTGCATGAAGGCAAATTATTTGTAGTGTTGCTTTTGCACTGAATGCACTTTAAGACTGACATCCCTGCATGAATGGATCAGCTCAGAAGCAACTTTGGTCAGCATAAAGAGAAATGGATGTGAGGGAGCACTGGATCTCTCTGTAATAGAGTGAGTGTAATTGGGAAATACTTATTTTCTTACTTTTCTTTTAGATAGAAGAGCACAGGATTTGTGTCTGTGTGAGAAAGCGCCCTCTCAATAAGCAAGGTGAGTGTACTGACCAAACAGCTCTGTCTTGAACAGTTTGGTTTTTGTTCAAACTGTGTTTGTTAAAACTGAGGGTCTTTTCTGTCAACAGAACTTCTAAAAAAGGAATGTGATGTGGTTACTGTTCCGAGCAAGTGTGTCCTGATGGTGCATGAGCCAAAGCAGAAAGTGGACCTAACAAAATACCTTGAAACCCAAACATTTAGATTTGACTTTTCATTTGATGAAACTGCTTCAAATGAAATGGTGTACAGGTAATGCTTGCTGGAAATGACTTTCAGATAAAAGCATGGAGCTGTGGCCAGATGGCATCTAAGCTTAAGAAACTTACTGGATATAAGTATTAGAATCCTTTTTGAAGGAAGCTGAAGGACTGAAAAGTCTAAGGCTTATTTTTAGCATAGCCTTACTGATTGCTTAAGGAATTGCTTATTTTTTGTTTTGTTTCTTGTTAAAACTGATGCTGATGTCGCAGTGTATGAAATATTTGCTGTAACTATTTTTTTTCTTTTGAATGTTCAGATTCACTGCTAGACCTCTTGTAGAGACCATCTTTGAGGGTGGGAAGGCGACATGCTTTGCATATGGCCAGACAGGCAGTGGCAAGACGCATGTAAGTTTTTCTCCAAGGTCTCCAATTTTCTAGCTTTGCTAAAGTATTTCAAACCTTCCTGATGCTTGAGCAGGAGTAGGATTGTGTAAGAATTTTGGATTTTGGTTTTATTGTCTTAAAGCTAATACTTTGTAAGATGTTAACTCTTTTTCTGTAGCTTTAGGTACTAGTAGGTTTCCTTTGAGATTGTGTGGAAAATTGTACTGGCTTTTCAAAAGCTTTAGAAAAACTCTTTTTAGAAAAAAAGAATAAGAAATATAAAAAGATTTTTTTTCTCTTTAGAAAAAAGAAAATCTGACTTTAAAAGATTTAGGATGTATTGATAGGTCAGTTTTAGTCCTGGCTGTTCCTTGCCTCAAATGCCTGTTGCTGTTTAACTCCTGTCTGTATAGAGGGGCTATTAGCCTACATCTGAGACATAAGCCAGTCTCTCCTGTCTTTTGAGCTTGGAGGCATTCCAAAGAATTCAGCAATTATATAAAAATAAGCCTCATGATGCACATAAATATTTAAGTGATCTGGTATTGTTTGTGAAATGGGTGAGTTAGTGTATTTGCTTTCTAACCACCCTTCCAGTCTAACACTGCAGCTTTAGGAGTTGTGAAAATTCTTTTGTCTTGAAAGAGAAAGCTTGCTCTAAACTTTCAACAGCTGTGTTGTCTTTAACTTTCTTCTTCTGGGAACTATGGAGAAGAATCCTCACAGCATAATGGTGGAGTCAAATGTGCTGTCCTGCTCTGCTAGAAGCATTTACCTCAAACCACAGTGATCTGCAAAGGGCTAATGCACTGCTTTGAGTAATCAGACAGTCATTGCTGTTGTTCAGTGATAGAGGCAAGTTTTAGGCTAGGACCTCCTATCTTTAGTGTCATGTAGTGAGCTGTAGATCTTTTCCAGTAATCCAGACAAAAAGTTGGAGCTTTGTACAAGTTTGAACACAGGCTGCCTTCATTGCACTGGAAAGGGCAGAGAAACCTGCTTACCTGAGCCTCATTATAGGGATACAGCTGTGATGCACTAAAATCACAGGTGAAGTCACTTTCTCTTCCCAGTCCTAGGGCAAAACTAGTGCAGGGACAACAGCTGTACCTTGAGACTGGAGTGTTGCACATTAAACTCTGCTAGATTGAGACTGTGTCATGGGATTGAGCTGTGTTTTAAATAAGTGGTAGAGCAAGTCACTAGGATAGCACTAACTGAAAAATTTTTTGTAATTAAAGATACTTGGGTCAAAGGAGTTAAAGGTATTGTCTGCCCTAAATTTGTATTTTCATGTTAACTTTTGCAAGTAATTGTAAAAATGTTTTGACCTAGATCCTAACAAATGAAGCTTTCTCTTCTGACTAGAGGCTGTTTGGTTGCACTGTCACAGTAGTTTCCTTGGAGGAACAACTGCTTTGACTCTGCACCCCAGAGCCTTACAGGTGCACTGCTTTGTGTAGGCCAGATCTTCTTTTTGAACTGATAGGAAAGCTGCAAATTAATTTGGTGCTGCATTCCAGTAATCTTGCTGGCATTAGGGCTTATCTATGGTAACTTCCTAGTCTGTTTTTGGCATGAAGATCAGGTAGGCTGACTTGTTTGTGCCATGCCTGACCTCTGGCCTGTTCTCTTCACAGACTATGGGTGGAGACTTCTCTGGGAGAAGCCAGAATGCTTCAAAGGGCATATATGCTTTTGCCTGTGAGTTGATTCTTCTATACGTACAAAAATCAGATTAATGCTTATTTTTCTTAACTAGGTAAGATCTGCTTTTCATGGTTATTTTAAAAATGCACAGTAGAAGATACATAAATATTTGTGTTTTCAGTAATAAGATCTGGTGTTTGCAGGAGGTATGATTATTTTTTCATTCATTTCACAAAATATTTTCCTCTAGCCTGTGTCTACATCCATACTGAACTCACCAGAAGCTACTTGTTTCTGATAAGTTTACTAATTAGGCATTTGCTGGGCAGAACCATTTAATTTTGATTCTTCTGCTTTGCTTTTGTCTCAGACATATCTGAGTACAACACAACTCTATAAATTTGTGATGTAAAACTTGTTAGGCAAAAGGATGTATGTATTGTGTTTCTTTCCATAAGCCTTAAATGCAAAAAAAACCCCAAAAAAACAAACAAAAAAAACCCCACCTAGCATGTCCAAAATTATTTCAGAAAACAGACACTTAGAAGCCGCTCCTTGATAATGTCTAGAAAGTACCACAAAACCTGACCTTTACCTTCCCTTTAGAAAGACACAATGTGAACTTAGCAGCAAGGCAGCTGAACCAGGAACTGGTTGGCTGATCTCTGAAAAATAGTTATGACTGGCCCTGAAGGAGTCTTTGCTTTTCAGCTCAGCTTCAAAATCTGGAGCCTAATTGTGAAAAGCTGCACTGGATCCAGCCACAGGGTCAACTAAGCTGGTATATTGTCTCCAAACTTCAGCAATGCAGATGTTCAGGGAGGCATGTTTTCTAAACTTTCTGCAAGATGTACTTGAAACACAAACATGTGACTTTTTCAGGCCTGTCCAAAACAATAGAGGATCCCAGTGTTCCCTCAGAGCAGTAAGGATTGTTATCTGTGGGTGGCATTAGCAGTTGAAACTCCTGTATTTCCCTGTTTTCCGTCCCTGGGTAAGGATGCTGCTCAATCTGTTCTCCAGATGGTAGCACAGCACTGATTGTTAGCATTTGTTTGGATGACTGTCACTCAGTGCTAGACACTGCCTTAGAGCTGTGCAGTGTTTGACAGTAGATCAAGTAGCAACTAGAATGTGTTTTAAGCCAATTAACTAAACTTGTGTCTTTCCTCACTAGCACAAGATGTCTTCCTCCTCCTAAACCAGCCCAGGTACAGGAATCAGAATCTGGAAGTCTATGTGACTTTCTTTGAAATATACAACGGAAAAGTAAGACCTGTTTTTATTTTTAAATCTTGACCCGATTTCTTTGGTTGACTATTTCATAAGTAGCTGAGTCAGACTTCATACCTTCTATAGTTTTATGCATTATGTTTATATTGGTGTATTTTGGTTTGAATTTGAAGTGTATGTTAAAGATGCTGTTTCTATATAACTTTATACAAAGACAGGGAAAAATACTTACAAGGAGTCCTTGTTCAGATTTGCCTCAATCTTTTTGCCTAAATATAGGTGTTTGACCTCTTGAATAAGAAGGCCAAACTTCGAGTCCTGGAGGATGGCAAGCAACAGGTCCAGGTTGTTGGTCTCCAAGAAAACCCAGTTAGCTGTGCTGAGGATGTCATCAAAATGATCTTGATGGGCAGTGCCTGCAGGTGTGGTGACTTAAAATCTATAAAAGAGGAGTCATGTCCTGTTGCATCTCCATGTTTAGAAAAGCATATATGATGCCTGTAGCTGGTGCTTTGAGATTTAAACAGGAGCTGCTTGTTCCCAGTAAAGGCACTGAGCAGTCTCTGCATGAATACCAGGGAGTGGTTACACAACAAAGGAGTGGAAGGGCTGGGTTCAGCCTGCCTCCCATAGGAAGTGTCCGAGCCCCTCGTTCATGTATCCTCATGGAACTCCAATAAGAGAAACCATTCACGTGAGGAGATGGCTGCCTTGGTGCTTTCTAGTATCAGCTAGTCCACAGGAATACAAGCAGCTCCCTGTGGGCTTGTAAGATCAAGGAACAGCAGCTGGTATGAACCATAATTGCAAAAATGGTTTGGCTTAACTGCAGGCCAGATGAGCTATTCCAATGGCAACAAAAATACTGCATGTTGTTCAGGAATCCTGTCTGAAGAATCCTTGAAAGCAGGTGCCAAGGGACAGCTGTAGGCTTGGCACATCATCCTGGCAGGAAAGGCTATGGTAGGGGCAGCTCTGCCATCATACTGGTATCTTTAATTGGGAGCTAAAATCTGTATTTCCAAGTCTTATCTGCTTCAGTTAAGTTACCACTGCTGTGGAAATGTTTGTAGGCAAATGAGAGCTTCTTGGCTTCTGTACTGCACTGTGTGGGCAAATATGCACATCCTAAAAGTTTATTCAGCATTCTGTGCAGCCTTTTTTGGCTAGCAACTTAGTCGTGAGCTGTTGTTATATTTCAGGCTACTCCCTCCTTTTTTCCCAGTAGCAGGAATGATGGTGGTACAGTGAACCTGCCAGCATTCTCAGGGAATAAATGATAAAGAAGGTCACAGGGAGATTTAAATTAAAAGATGTCACTCTGTGCCTTGCAGTAATGGGGCAGGTGCAGCTGCACAGCAGAGGTGAAGTGCCAAGCCAGCTTGGCTGGAGAAAGGGATTTACCATGATTGCAATGTGCTAGCACAGCTAATGCTGTTTAGTGGGGAGCTTGGCTGAGCTTACTGTATAATGGCAGATGCATTAGGAAAATGACATGTGGTGTGCTGAAGGTGTGACTTCCAGCTCAAGTGCATGTGAGGCTTTAGCACTCAGAAAGGCATTCCAATGTAGGCTGGCTGAGTTGAGCCAGGCAGCTTAAATAGCCTTAAATTTCTATAACCAGGGTGCAGGTTGGTGTTTTCCACAAGTAGTTCTGTGCTCTTATATCAGAAACAATTCTATAGTTTACGCAAACTTGAAGTGTGGGATAAACCCTAGGAGGTTAATTGAATGGCTGCAGGTCTTATCTAGTGCTGTCAGGACCTGTTGTTTTGTTACACATTTCTAAGGCTTGTTTGCATCTCTGCTGAAGGACATCTGGGCAGACTTTTGCAAATGCCAGCTCTTCCCGGTCACACGCCTGCTTCCAGATCATCCTGCGCCGAAGAGGACAAATGATTGGCAAATTTTCCTTGGTGGATCTGGCAGGAAATGAAAGGGGTGCAGACACATCTAATGCTGATCGGCAGACACGGATGGAAGGTGCTGAAATCAATAAGAGCTTGCTGGCTTTGAAGGTGAGCTACAGCTCCTGGACCAGAGTGATAATCCACATGTGGATTCTAACTCTGGGGTTATCTGTTCTGTTTCATTCCAGTATGAGGAAAAAACCAAAAAAGTCTTAGTTTAGGATGTGAGCAACCTAAAAATAGAGTATACTTCCATTTAGAAGGTTTCCAGGAAAGTATTGCAGTCTTGTCAGGCCAGACACTGGTACAGCTATTTCAAGCTTCATTCAATGATCTTTATTAGTGTGAGGGAGTTTGTGACATATGATGGCTATACCTACTGTCCTGTGACAGTCAGATACCTGGAGTATATTTTAAAGATTATGAAGAACTTGGAGGAATACATGTGACCATTCTTCAGCCTGTTGGGTTTACCAGCAATTGGTGGTTGATAGCTTGCAGAGCTGTTTGAAGAGAGGTGCAACACTGCACTCACAATACTGTCTTTTTGTAGGAGTGCATCCGAGCTTTAGGGCAGAACAAGTCCCACACCCCTTTTCGGGAGAGCAAACTGACACAGGTGCTAAGGGACTCTTTCATAGGAGCAAACTCAAGGACCTGCATGGTGAGTATGCACATGTCAAACACAATGCTTGGCTTCTAATTCAACCAAATAGCTGCATGTTCCTCTACAGCAAGAGGTTTTTTTTAAATCAGAAAGCTTTAGATCTTGTTAAACAAAAAACCCAAATATTTTCCTCATGGAAACTTGCCCATGGTGAGCGAGATAATAAATTTGTGAGTTGTGCCCAGCTCTTGTAGAAGCAAGGCTGTGGAAGTCTTTTTAATACAGTGAATCAGCAAGAGAGCTTGGTGTGGTCTCAAAGGGCTTTGCTTTCTGTGGATGGTGAAGTACATCAGGTGCACGCAAAGACAGTGGAAGTTGGATACAGGGGTGCTGTCATGTCCTACAGAATCCATAAAGAAAAATGGACTTGGCTGTCTCAACTCCAGCTCTTTGTCCTCAAATGTCCCAGCTGTGTGGTGAGATGTGTAGGACCATTAATGAGCAAAAGTCAGGTAGGAGTCACTAAGGTTTCTTTTGTGTTTACAGATAGCAATGATTTCTCCAGGCATGAGTTCGTGTGAATACACCTTAAACACACTGAGATATGCTGACAGGTAATGGCCTTTCTGACCTGGGGATTATAATCTTATTGTAAAAGGTGATTTAGCTGCTTTTACTCTGACCTTTGGAACCTCAAGTTCTCTTGTATTGTTTGTGTTGGCAACCTGGAGGATGGTTGTTAAGAGCAAAGTACCTTAGAGCTGTCATATGAAACCAACCTGGGTGTTGTATGTGAGACATAATAGAGATGATGTAAAACCATGAGTAATGTCTCTTCCTCAAAGGAATCTCCTCTCATGCTAGACTTCAGACTGCCCTGGTTCTTGTAGGGAGTTTACGCTGTCCTGAATGGTTATCTCTATGCCTTTCAGTTTTTGTAGTACTTTGTGACCCATCTGTAAGGGTGTGCTAAGAATGTGTGTCATGAATGAGTGTTTTAGTTCACGCAAAGAATCACTGGCAAAGGTAGCAGCAAAAGCAATTTCAAAATTAAATGAAAGACACAGTTTGTTGGCAAGGTTCACTCTACTACTGATTAGGTGGTTAAAGCACACAGAGGAGAAAATTGACTACAATCAATCTAAAATTAAAATCAACTTAAAATGATCTACCTGGAAGCCTGGGGAATGGAAAAAGGGGTAAGGTTAGAAAAAGAAAGGGTAAAGATGAAAAGAACTGAAGGAGACCCTCCCCTTGAGTTACAAGGTTCATGTGACCCCCCTTGTCAAACATAGCCCTGGGACTTGACCAACGGTTTAGGCCTAAAGATTTTAACTGCACTTAATCCATAGCCTAATTTAAATAATTTAATATAAGATTCTATTGAATTTACTATAAGCACAACACTACAACACTCACAGGCCTTACTTACTTACAAATACTTAACATACTTAAGAATCTAAGACTGTAACCTTCATAGTATATTTGCTGTAGCATAGTCACACACGTACAAGGGGTATGTACCACCTGCCGTGAAGGGATTTTGGTCCCAGCTCAACTGATGCCTGTGTAACTGCCAGAGTGGCTCATGGATGCCAGACAGAAAAGTTTCCTTAACACAAACATCTTCTGGCTTTCCTTCCCGCGGTATTCAGGAGTTTCTGCCCATATAAGCCTGTTCTGGGGATGGTAACTGTGTGACTCTTAAAGTGCAACTGATTGTTTCTTGCTGAGTGCTGATTGATTGATTGCAGCAGCTGATTTGTGATGCTGTAGCCAAGAAACTGATGAAAGATGGATTTGAGTGACAAATCTTCTTGTTGCAGAGTGAAAGAGCTCAGCCCTCATGATGGAGGCAGTGAAACCCAGAGTCAGATGGAGACTGAGGAGGCTGAGACTGGTACTGAAGCCTCAGGTTTTCAACTCAATGTATGTGTGGGCAGTGGGCTAACCAGAACTCAAAGCTGGGAACAACCTGCTGTTCTTACCTGGGCTGTTTCTTACAGTTCTGCAAGGATGAGGAGGAAGAGTTCTCTCCACACATGTTCAACTATCGAGAGGTTATGACTCAAATCAGTGAACGGGAGGAGAAGGTTGTAGAACAGCTCAGAGAACTGAGACAGGTATGGGGGAGCAGCACAGCCAGCCCAGGCCACCTTCTGTATGTTGATAGCAGCTTGCTTTGTCTGGGCCAAGTGCTGCTGGGGAGGTACCAATGCAAGATGCTGTACTACTGGTGTTACTTCTTCCTCATTGCCAACTTTTTCCTGTATTTTCTGGCCTAGCTGGTTAAACTGGGGCATTTCAGTGCTTTTGCCAATTCCCTTTCCCCTCCAAATAGCAACCTCTACTTGCTGCTAATGAGCACTGATGGCTCCTGGTCTGTAGAAGTTCAGCTATGTTGATTAGACTGCCAGACTTGAAGAAACTAATTGAATTTCTAGAAAGTCCATTTCTCATCCCTGTTATCCTTGTAAATACAGAAAATGACTACTGAACTTGACTGCCTCTTGGAAATCACAGAGAAACCAGATTATGATCTTGAGACCTTTGTGAGCAGAGCTAATTACTTCATAGAGGACAGCTCAAGAAATTTCCTTAGTGTCAGAGGTATGTTAGAGCCTGTATGTGACTAGCACTGTCATTAACGCTTTTCCAAAGACCTGAAAGTAACACCAGCATAGCTGTGGGGGTTTGAGCACCCAGCCCTGCATAGCTGAGGTCTGCTGAGACTGACAGCTGTTCTGGAGAGTTTAGCTTCCTGATCAGTCACCCTGTTACTCTTCCCTTTTTTTACAGAAACACTGGATGCCCTGGGGACTGCCATGCAACTGGAGGAGCAAGCCAGCAAGCAGATTAGCTGGAAGAGGCCTTAATCATTACAGCAAAACCTGGTTCACAAGCAATCTTTCATGCACTTGTCTTGTCTTGCATGTTTGTCAGTGGTTTGTATCACTCCTGTTTTAATGTGGTAGGGTGTCTGCAGGTCACGTGCCCAAGGGCAGTGAACACAGCAGCCTTTTTCTTCATGGCCTGTATCAGGGTACTCAGCAAAGTGCTAAAATGCACCCACTGCAAGGCTTGGGTAGGGGGCCTGAGAGTCTGCAGTCTCTGCCTGCAGAGATAGCTAGCCCTTTGCTGGTGACAGTGGTCTCCCCTAAGAGAACTAACTACACATGTATAGTACATTACCTTTTCCAGATGTGCTTGAAACATTGCAAAACTGTTACAAGTTTTGCTTTTCTAGAAGGAAAGAAAATGGACTATATGATTGTAAAAACCAGTATTTTAAGAAGTTGAATAAATAAATGTTCTTGGATTTCACTATTTTATCTGTCCTATAAAAAATATTTCTTGCTAATTATGGTAAAGTTTAACAGCTCCTAAAGACTGGCTGGTTGTTGGTAGGGAGGCTGATTTCTTAGATGAAGTTTCTTTTCAAAGTCTTTATACTTGTAATGTTTACATAAAAATCACTCAAAATACATTTTGTCTCTTAATTTTGAGATGCTGCTGGGACCCCCTAGCAGGGGGGGAAGGTGGCTTAGGTGTAGCTGTCTGCTGCCATGGCCCTTGTGTGCAGCCTGGGTCCAGATAGCCCTGCAGACCTTTCCTCTGGGAAAAGAGCAGGTTAGGAGAGGAACAGTTGTTGGGCATGTGCTAGTGCCTGCTCTTCTACTTATTCAGCTCAGTTCAGCATTTGTCTTCAAAAGCACAAAATAGTTGTGTGAGCTCTAGGTTCAGCCACACAGGATGCAGCTGTGCAAACATCAGATCACAAAGGAACCCTTCTACCATTACTCCCTCTTTTCTTGGCACTACCTTCTCCCTCTGAAAGTCAAGGCTGTAATTTAAGTGACAAGGCCACCCCCAGCTCTGCACCTCCCATCTGTGGACTGCATCCTTGCTGTGTGTCTGGAGATGCCAGCTATATTGGAGACCATTTATTCAGCCTGGACTGGATCAATTGTGGGCAGTGTTTCAGGGCTGGCTTGGAAAAGATAGCAGAAGAGTTATGGATCTTTGAAGGATGTGAGCAAACATTAGTCACAAGGACTTAAAGAAGGGATGCTTCAACCCAGGTATGATCCTCCTCCACTGCTTGGGTGTTTTGTGCTCAATAGTTTAGGTTCTGGGAGCAGAGTGGGGCTGAGCACTCTGAGGGTTTCTGAACTGTGAAAGGTGACTTGGACCTAGGTTCTGCCTGCATCATACTGAGATGGCACAGCCAGAGTAGAAGGGCTGTTATCCCTATTAAGTTGGACAAAAGCAAGACAATCCTGTTCCACTTCAGGTGTTAGTACTCTTGGATTACCCAACCTTTCCCTGTGCAAGGAACAAGGTATTGCCCACTTCCTTCCCTCTGTGGCCCTAATACTGCTTATTTTCCCTGTATCTGCCTTCAGAGTTAGAGACCTGATCTGCAGGCCAGCAGCTCCTACCCTGGATTGGGGAAGAGCCACCCAAGGGCCTGAGTCTGTGCCTCTTGGTGCAATCCCAATGGAAAATGCTGTGTTCCTGTCCTGCCCTAATAGCACCAACAGACACCAGAGTCCCAAAATAAACAAGAAATGTTCAGCTGTGCATGGTTTGACAATCATTTAAAACTGGGGCTTGCTGAGAACCAACTGCTTAATGATCAGTGGAAACTTCCTGGTGTATATTAAAGTCTGGCAAGTTTCCTGTGTCACCATAAAAACGCCAACTCAAACATCACCACCCTTACTTCTGAGAGGATGTCACTGGAAAACTCCTCAGGTTTGCCTCCCTGCCTGCTAAGAATTTTCTGCCATTTGCTTTTGCAGAAAAGGTGTTCTAACAGCACTATCTTGTGGACACTGCAGGAAATTCACACTGAATAAAGCAATTTTAGTGCAAATAGCTGAATTTCATTGAGGACTATGCAGTCAATGATAGGCACTAGGTTTTCCAGTGGGTGGCTGATGTTATAAAAGGGTGTTTCACTGCTGGCTGTGGCTCCCAGCTGTGGGGAGAATACAGTGGCCATGAGCAATGCAGCACCCTTCAGCCCTGTGTAGGACAGATGTTGCTTCCAGGCCTAGCCAAGGGTGCCAGTACACAAGGCCAGTCAGATTTCACATCTCCCTATAAATAAAATTTCAAGCCAGTTCCAGTGGCAGGTGTAGGGAGGGTATGAGCACTTCTACCTGCAGGCAGCTACTCTGTCTCATTCCCAAACACCCCTTTCCAATCAGCTTAGAGCTGCAGACTTGACAGAGCTGGGACACTCAGCAGGGAGGAGTGCCAGAGGTGAATGGGTGAATCTTTCCTGGGAGGAACCTGTCCCAGTCCTTTCCTACTGAAAGGATACCACTTCTCTAAGGTTCTTTTTATGGTCTTGTGGATTCTGCTCCAGCGTCCCACCCAATGACTTTTGTGGCAGCTGCCTGTTAAACATACTCTCTCAGCCAAAGTGTGCTGTGTGTGCATGTGGACCATTAGGAAGGAGAGAATGATGCTTTGAAACACATCTAAGATGTTAGAGGTGGAGTTACTCTGCTAGCATGAAAGGAGGATGGATGTACTTTTTCAGGAGACACTGTGGCTACATATAATGATCAATGCACAGGCTGCAGCTCAGGCAGTCTGGGCTATTGTGGCCTGCATGGCTGAGCTGGAACTGTTCACCATCCTCAGCAGCAGCCCTCAGCGCTTCTCCGGAGGCCTGCAGGGTGGCATTAGTGCTGCAGGCAACCCCATCCTGGACGCGGGCAGCCCTTGCTGCTGCACCCCGCGCCGCAGGGGACAGCATCCTGTGCCCCCTTGCCAGTCTGGGGATGACGGACCCGGAACAAAAGCATCCGCTGCCCCATCCGGGTATATACAATTATTGATTCTATTATTAACCGAAATAAATGTAGCTCCACCGAAATGGAGCCTCAAAAAATTTCTCGACACTCGTGCCTGTTCCTCTCCACGGAAATCTTTAGTAAAAGGCGAAAGATTTATACGATCTGAAGAGAAACCAGAGTATGCCCGCACACCCATCTCCGACATTGCCCCCGTCTGCTGCACCCCACATAGGTGAGGGCGAGGCCAGCCCGCCCGGGGGTCCCGGCCCCGCATCCCCGCCCGGCCCGGCCCCGCGGGGCGCACACGCCGGGCAGCCCTCAGAGCCCGGGGAGGGACAGCGGCCGCAGCCCCGGAGAGCGGCGAGGCCGCGGAGCACCCTGGGCACGCTGGGCATGCAAATCAGCCCCGGAACGGCGCGGCCGGAAGGAGCGGGAGGAGCCGGCGGCGCTGAGGGGCGGGGCGGGTTGGTGTTGCTGACATCGGTGCCGCAGCACGGCCATTATCCACACGGGCCCAACCGCTAGGGTTGGTTTATATTCCCCATTGCCGCAATTAATCGCCAACAACCCACCCCAATGAACGCTCAGCATTTGCTCTTTCTTTAACCGGAAATGGTTAGCTCCACTGTAATGGAGCCACAAAAATTTTCGTAAGACTCGTACGCGTTTCTCTCCACTGAAATCTTTAGTAAAAGGAGAAAGATTTATACGATCTGAAGAGAAACTGGAGAACAGCCATGCTGCACCCCGCACATATGCCCACTCCCCGCTGCCGCCCCACAAGACACGGCGACCTTCACTCAGTTCCTTTCCCTACTTCCCTCGCCTTCCGGAGCCTCACCCGGCTCGGCACCAGCCCCCGGCCGGTACCACAGCCCGGCTGGCCCGAGCCCGGAGCGGCGGCGCTCGGCGGGGCCGGCTCGGTGCTGCCCGCCCTGCACCCCGGGATGCTGATCACACCAAGCCCGGTGCTTCCTGCCCTGCTGCCGGGGCGGGGGGGAGCGAAGAGGGGCAGCTGGGGACAAAGCGAGCCGGGAGCGGATAAGGACCCCACGGCGCTCGGGTCTGGTCGCATCGTCGCCACGGCAAGCAGAAGCCGCGCAGAGGCAAAAAGTCGGCTCTGGGAAACGTCACCATACGCCGCCGCCACGGATCAGAGCTAGACAGAGAGGGGAGCTTGCGGTAGGGGTCCCACGGAGGGTGCTGAGCCTGGGCGGGCTGGAGTGCCCGGGACTGCCGGGCAGACCCCGGCTGTCGCTTCTCCCGGAGTCTGAACCGCGGGCACGCAGCTGCTCCGCTGCACCGCCCGGGCCAGGAGGAGGGGTTCCCGGTCCCCGTTCCGTCACGGCCAGCTTCTGACCCGACACGGGCAGTGAGGCGGCCAACCGGGCGGGGGTAGGGGCGGTGCGGATGGAGCCGTGAACGCAGAGTCCGTGCTGCCGAGAGCAGGACCAGAGCAGATTGCGCGTCAGGCCCGGAACCCAGCAGCTTTATAAAAAAATTGTAGTTTGCTCTATCTTTAACCGGAATAGGGGTAGCTCCACCGAAATGGAGCCTCAAAAAATTTCTCGACACTCGTGCCTGTTCCTCTCCACGGAAATCTTTAGTAAAAGGCGAAAGATTTATACGATCTGAAGAGAAACCAGAGTATGCCTGTGATGGGGCCCTCGGCCGGTACCCAGTCCCGGCTGTCCCTCCAAGATACAGCGACACCGATTGCTCCCAGATTCGACCCTCTGCTGCCTCGTCCCGTTCTCCCGGCAGTGCTCAGAGCTCAGCCTGGCACCGGAGCAGCGGTACCGGGGAGCGGCGGCCCGAACGGTACCGTGTGCGCGGCACCCCCGCGCGGTGCACCCTGGGTATGCAAATTATCCCGAATAGTAATAAGGCGCCCCGCCCCGCCCAGCCCCGTGTCGGTCGCAGCCAGGCCGGATCGGGGCCCCGGGGACGCTCGACGGGGACCGCCCGTGCCCGCCCTTCGCCCCCGGTACACTTGGCAAGCTACCCCACACCGCCCACGGTGGGTCGGCAGATCTTACCTTTGTACTGGACCTCCGGGTGTACTGAGCAGAGCACACCCAGCACGGGCTCCATGAACAGACCGGGCACATCTCCCATCCTGTCCTGGGGGGAAGGGGCATAGTGACTGGGACAGTCTTCACAGAGTTCTCCAGACTTCTCTTCCAGGCAGTAGGGCTACCCAGTGCAGCCAGAATGCCAAGGAGACAGGCACAGCTCCTGCCTGAGCAGGGATGGACGCAGGTGGTAACACTGCCCGTTGCCCCCAGCAAGGCCCACTCCTCACCTGCCTGAGCCCCGTGCTGGGCTTGGGGGGCGGTACACAACAGCACAGCTTCGAGGCCTTGCGAATCTTGGCTCTGGTACTTGGGGTTGCTGTGGCCCAAAGAGTCCAGCAGAACCTGTGCATCTTTTTGACCTGCTGCTGTGTTGGAGGCGTTTAAGAACTTGGTCTGGGCTTGCACCCTTGTGCTGAGAAAGAGATGCCATCGGCAGGCAGAGGGAAGGGAATGGCTCAGTGCAGCAAGCAGCCCCACGGGCCAGAGGTCAGGGAGAACATCCTTGCCTGGATGAGGACAAAGCACAAATGGACATGCTGTGTGCCACAGCTTTCACAAATGAGCTCCTCATACTCCCTGCCAGTGTCTCCAGTGAGCAACAGCAGCTTTATAAACCCTCTTTTGTCCTCTTCTTTTAGGTGGTTCAGCCTCAGTATTTCCAGAGGAATCAAGACACCTCTGATCTCCAGAAATTCAGTAAGGTATCTGTGGCTTCAAGGCTGCAAGAATAAGGAGAACAAGGCCAGAAATGTCACTTGCCTTGGAGCCCATCTTCCTCTGCCAGCATGCCATGTCCTGGCAGCCATCACCTCCCATCTCACTGCAGTGGGTAGAGGTCTGAACTGGATACCGTCTCTGCAGAAGAGCATGGACCGTCCTCTTGCAGGCAGGCAGAGGCAGCACACTCACCCACATGTGAGAAAAACACTGATTCTGGGTTCTTGAGAGATGGGTTACATGGCTTTCCCTTCAGTTCCATCTTTTGATAACCAGGGCGTTTTTTAAGCCTGCATAATGTGGCTGGATGTGGATGTCTCTGTCTCCATAAAAGCTTATTCTTTAAACAACTTTTCAGTAGAGACCTTGCCCATCCTCTCCATCTCACTACCACACCACCTCCAGCTGTCCAAGGAAACAGATGCAGCATCCTGAGCCACACCGTTAGGTGAGCCAGAAACAATCTGGCTCTCTGGGAACTCCAGCTCCAGCTCTGGTCCTGCCTTGTTTTAATGAAGCTGTTGAGGATGCAACAGTTGTTTGAGCAACTTTGTGGGCACTATCCCATTCCTGCAGGAAAACCATGATGGCTAATGGCTTTCTGCTCTTTGACAGATGCCATGATCTCTTCTGCCTAGAGAAAAATGAGAAAGAAGTGTAAAAAGGTCTGTGAAGAAAGACTGTACAAATGAATTATCACTAGAACCACATTTTAAATCTCTGCCAAATAATATGAAAGCAATTAGTAACCATTTAATCTCATTTCTCTTATACTCATTTCATAGATAGGAAAACTAGCAAAAGGAGAGTTCCTGAGATGTCTGAAGCTGCACAATGAATCTGTGACAGACTTGAGATTATTTTCCTGGGCAGGTGGTTTCACCACAGTTCTTTTCTCTGCTCTGCTAATAAAGTAATTTTGATGTTACCCATTACCCCAGCCCTGTTTCTCACTAGCCTCATGATATGAACACTGCGTCTCATATCTGACCTGCCAGGGAGTAAATAGAGTGAAATGAGAGCAGAAATAAGTATGGATTTATGGGGAGTGACAGGGTCAAGGGGGCTGTAAATGCCTGTTAGCACAGCAGCACAGCCCTCACTCACCTGCTGGAGCAACAGCCATGTGGACATCTACCCCAGGAACATGTGCCTGGCCTTGGCAGGGGAAAGTGCTTTGGCACCCTTTAGCATGCCAGACATTTGCTCCCTTTTTTCCCTATTTAATTTTCCTGACATGTTTTTAAACAATCTAAAAAGCTAAAATGATAAGAGCTATAAGCAAGAAAACAGAAGTTCCAGAAACATCCCTTGTCTGCACTTCTTATTTCTTGTCTGCACTTCTTATTTCTTCACACAGGTGTTAAATAAACAAATCTACATTTTCCCAAGTGTCTTTGGCACACTTTTTGGCTCAGTATGATACCCTTTAGCGCAGTTTGACAAATGTGAAGGTGCTCTTAGTAAGGGAGATGGAATACCAGAGACTGAGCTTCCATTTGTGTGGCAATCCCACAGCTGTGCATGATTCTGGCTGGAGGACACTGACCAGGCTCAAGGAGCCTCACAGTTAAACACCAGGCTCTGAGGGATAAGGTCACATACAGTGCCATTAACACAGGTGCCTTGTCCTCCACCAAGCTGTATCAACATGCCTAAGGATAAGAAAGGAATTCACACCTTGTCTAATGCACTTCTTGGGCTTCCTACCTAACAAAAGCACCATTTATATTTTATTTAAGTGTGGTTTATTGAGAAAAAGGGTTAACATAAATCTTTGTGTTTCAGAATAAAAAGTTTCTTTCAATGTAATACAAATCATCAAGATTACCAATTTCCCATTTACAAAGTTCTTAAGCCTTTTCTCCTAGTATCTGCATAAAAATTTCAAATCAGTTCCAAAGTATCCCCAAGATACCTGCTCAAAAGTAACTTTATACTCCTCTTACCTGAACCAGGCTGAAAACAACCACTGAGATGTTAACATGTATCTCAGTGCCTAAAAACAAACAAGTAAAGTCTCCAAAAAGCTGTCTGAGAAACAGTGCTTGAGAATTAGGATGAGATGGAATTTCATTTGGGAATTAACGGTCTGTGTTCTGTAAGGCATCTGTGTCCTTGGCAGGGCATTTTCAGGACCTCCTTTGCAGGGAAGCAGGTTTAAAATAAATCCATTTTCCCAAAATAGTTGTGATTGAAAATGTTATTAGCCATAACAAATGTTAGTGCTGACAGGAGAATGGCCTGTTAGGGGCCTCTGCTGAAACAGTCAAGTGAAAGTCATATTTCACATTATTGCAAGCATTTTCCTGTGATTTACAGAATATTTGTGAAACATTACTTGCAAGGCATATGATTGATATTGAGAGAACAGCTCGTGTGTAGGGGGAATCTGTATTTCACAGAGACTGTTTGCATGAAATTTACAGTCCCATAAAGTGCTCCTCTGTCCTCAACAGAGATCTAGTTAAAAGAACTTTACAGTCTGAAACATCCCAAAATTGATTGTAAATTAAGGTTTCTGTATTTATGTTTAAGATGCTGGTGGTGTAATGCTGCAGTAACCCCCTCACACTACTCAGAAATACTAGTACCAGCCTCTGGACGTGAGGATTTTAGTGATACAACGGGCTTGCCTATGAATCAATGGAAAAAAAAAGAAAAAAATTTGAAACAATGATGACATGGCTTCAGAGGATACAGTGGTGTCTGTTTCTGGCTGCTGTAATAGCAGCATTTGCTGACATAGGAATATTTAAGCCAACATTGCAAAGTACCCTGAAAATGTACATTAATGTTTTTATTATGAACATTTTACACATGGGAACGTGCAGACACAGGGAAGTTAAATTACTTGCCTGAATCATTTGTCAGTGCTAGCATCAATCTGTAACTCTTGGTTGTTGGCTTCAAGCTCTGCTGTCAACAGTGCTGGGCGGCCACCCAGTCCACTGGACCTAATAATCAAAACAAGGCTAGGTCAGGGCAGGGCAGGGCTTTATTCCTGCCAAGAAAAAAACAGTGATTTAGGAACTGTCTCTGGCAATTCAGCAGTTCTTTACATCCAGAGTTCTGCTTAATCATCAGATTGAGATCAAAAGGCACACTGGTGCTGCTTCAGCCTCACACCAAGTGTGAGGTGCCAGGGAATGATGGCCTTGGACTCATGGAAGGACAGAGTGGCAGTGATTTGGTGTTACCTTTGCATCTTACAACATCAAGGTTGTGCCCGGCCTCAGGCAGAACTTAGGGCCTGTTTCCCTGGCAGCTTTCCTCCTTTCCTGGCACACCCCAAGTCCTCCATGCACAGTGCACCTTCCTCAGTGTACCCCAACACCCCCAGCCCCTCAGCCACGGTCCCGCCGGGCCTTCTCTGACCCGCATGTCCTGCCTGTGGCCCCACAGCCACAGCCCCAAACCCAGCCCTGCCTCATTCCAGCCGGGCCCTGCACTGTCCCCTGCATCCATCCACATCTGATCCATTGCAACCTCAGCATTCCCTGCCCCAGGCCACCATCCCACAGCCCCTCCTGACCCAAACACCCAGAGCAGGGCCAACAACCTCTCTCACCCTCATGCCCGTCGTATCCCTGGGCCTCCCTGGCTGCCATCCCCGCTCCAGGCCCTACAGTTCCCCTCAGCCCCCCCCGGCTGACATCCCCGCTCCCGGCCCTGCCGTTCCCCTCAGCCCGGCCCTGCGGCCCCCGCCCGCCTCAGCCCCGCGCCCCGGCCCCGAGGGGGCGGTTACCCCGCAGAATGACTGACAAGCGGCTGAACCAATCGCTGCCAGACTTTCTCCCCCTGCCCAATGGGTGGCCAGCGGGCGGGGCGCTGAGCCGATGCTAAGGGCGCGTTGCTAAGGAAGAGGGAGGCGGGTAGGGGGCGGGGCAAATGATGAGGTGGGGTGGGTGCTTTCCCTGCCCATTGGCTGCTGGGAGGCAGGTGGGCGGGGCTTCCGGGGGGGGCGGAAGCGGCGGCCGGTGCGCGGCCATGGGCACCCGCGGGCTGAGGGACGCCGTGGTGGAGCTGCAGCCGGGACAGGCCCGCGGTGCGGGGGCGAGCGGGACCGGGGACACCGTGACAGCGGGGAGGGGGCGGGCGGAGGAGAGGCGGTGTGGGAGGAGGAGCCGTGGGGCATTGGTTCTCCGGCAGGTGTCTGGCAGTGCCTGGAGCGCAGGGCAGGACGCTCCCCTGTTCCCCCTGGAAGCGGCAGCAGCCGCCGCTGTCTCTCCGGGAGGCGGGAGGAGCGGTGTCGCCCCCGCAGGGAGCAGCTCGGAGCCGGCTTTGCGGCACTGCAGAGCGGTGGGAGCTGCAGGGGCTGAGGCTGGGCTGTGCAGTTCGCCCACGGAGTGAAACCGGCGTGAGGCAATGCTCGGAACTGAGCGAGCAGCCAGGCTCATGCTTGCTTCACTATTGCCTCTAAACTGTAGTAACCAGGCGAGCTGCTGTGAGCTGTGCTCGGGCAGCTGCTGTAACGCTTGTGGTCTGTTGCAGAAGGCAGCGCAGACAGAGGGCCTGCCGAGGGCCGGCCCGTGGTCATCCTCCTGGGCTGGGCCGGCTGCCAGGACAAATACCTGGCCAAATACAGCGCAGTCTACCGCCAGAAGGTGAGTGCCCTGTCTGTGTCTCCATGACACTGTCATACTGTGAAACGGCCTCATTTTTGTGTGTAGGTAAAGTCTCTCTGAAGCCTCTCTTGTCGGCTCATGGGGAGTGAGTGAGAGTTCTGCTGTCATTGAAAGCTCCTTGTCTCTCTCAGCGCGGGCAGTGTTATCTAACAGCTGCTGATGTCACCTTTGTGTGTGCAGCCAAGGCAGAAATACTTCCCTGGAGAAACTTTCAGCTGCTGTGTGACTCACTGAAGTATCTTAAGGCTTTTAAAGTTGTGGGATTATTCAGGAATGACATGAACTGTGTTAGTTTTCCAAACAGGTAAACATGCAGGCAAAGATTCTGTGTTTACTGCTTGCTGTTAGGCCACAGCACAGACGTGGTGAGGCTGGGGTGGGAACTGACAGAACACATTGGCATCTGTCATGTCTTTGGCTCTTCCTTCCTGTGAAAATGATTCATCTAAATGTTGTAAGCCAAATAATTTTATCCTGTCTGTGAAACAGGCATCCTGTGATAGTCATAGCTGCTCACTAGGAATTCCTTGTGTTTGAATTAGAGAGATCTGTCCTACTGCCAGTTCCCTAGGTTATGATATTTTCCTTTCTAATACTGTATTTTACTGGAATGATGCCAGCTTGTAGCATGGGGACCCAGTGAAACATTAGAATTTTTTTTCTTGGCCAGCAGGGAATATTGTATATATCCAAATCTGTTCCAACTATAGGTGGTAAAGTTTGTACATTAACAAGTCTATTGTTAATGTGTAATCCAGTGCAGTAGTCATTAATTGGCTTGATCTAGTGAAGAATTAGTTGTTAAGTGGCTTTAAGATGCTGCTGAGCGGATGAGGAGCACGTTACAGGGCAGCATGACAACTTCTTGGAAAACACTTTTCCCTCAGAAAGAATATAGAAATGGGAAAGGAGAGGATGGTTTTTCTTAGCTCACTAAGAGGAATAGGCTGTAGCCATGACAAGATTGTAGAGAAGGCTTTGATTTGAGAACTTGGTGTCCTCTTCTAACTCGTTCACTGTTTAGGGAGCTCTGGGGGGGTTGTTTTGGTGACTTTGCTTTGTCCTTGTCAGTGTGTAATGTGATGTGATGTGTCAGTGAGCTCAGGTGATGGAAAAGGTCTAAAGCATGTATAAATGTAGTTCCATCTGCTCTATTTTGAAACTCTTCCAAGATCCTATTTCCAAATCTGTACCTAAATGTAAGGCAGTTGCTCAGGAGTTCTGAGTCCTTGAGCCAGAGCTCTTTCTTTGCACAGCTGGAGTGTTTCAGGAAGGTCTACAAAAATCATGTTGGTGTTTGTTGGTGGGCAGTCTTAGAGACAGCTGCAAACAAGTGCACCCAAGGAGAAGAGGAGTTCCTCTTTCTTCTTATATTTGCTTCAGTGCGATGAGCTGGATGTGTACCAGAGCAGGCTCGTCTTACCAAAACAGCTGATGCTGAAGGTCTGTGCATCAGGGAGATGGTTTTCTTCTCTGGGGTGAAGATTAACACTCATAAAAATGGGTGGCAGTGTCCTCAGGGGTTGTGCCAGTTAGCACAAGATTTGAAAGGGTCTCAGACATGACCAAAGCCAGGCCTCTGCCACTGCAGAGGCCTTTTCATAATACTGTGTGCTATGATGATTAATGTAATCTATATTCATGTCAGTGCCTTGCTGCTGACACTGAAGACTTTCTTCTGGCCCTGTGGTTTCTGTTGAAAACCTGTCCCAAATTTTCATGTTCTTTGTACTGCTGCTTGCCTACTCTCTGTAATTTGCAGCACAGCCTAAACGTGTGTGGGGTCTCTTTCTGTTCTCAGGGCTGCACGGTCATCCGCTACACAGCTCCATGGAGGATGGTATTCTTCTCCGAGACCTTTGGCATCAGATCCCTGCAGACCCCAGCCAGACAACTCCTGGAGCTGCTCTTTGACCACAGAGTTGAGAGCAGACCGGTTCTTTTCCACGTTTTCAGCAATGGAGGTGTCATGCTGTACCGTTACATCCTCGAGGCGCTCCACACCCACACGCCCTTCCAGAGCCTCAGGGTGGCCGGCACCATTTTCGACAGCGCCCCTGGCAGAAGAAACTTGCGAGGAGCCCTTCGTGCCCTGGCAACTGTCCTGGCCTCCATGAACGTGCTGCTCAGGTATCTCCTGCTGTTCACTTTTGCCACCACGGCCGTCGTGCTGCGGGTCCTGCTGTACCCCCTGACGCGCTTCCTCCACGAGAGCCACTACGACGCCCTGCTGAAGGCGCCCTCGCGCTGGCCCGAGCTCTACCTCTACTCCCAGGCCGACCTCATCATCAAGGCCAGCGACATTGAGCTCATGGCCAGCGCCCGGGAGCAGCTCGGGGTTCCTGTGAAAGCCGTGGACTTCTCAGACTCGCCGCACGTCAGCCACATGCGGGTGTACCCCGCCTACTACCGCGGCCTCTGCAGCGCCTTCCTGGCTGACTGTGCCGGGGGCTCGCCTCCCTAGTGCTCTCATCACCTGCAGTGTTTGCCTCTCCTTGCTCAGCTCCCATGGGAAATGTCACCTCCTTTGCTTTTGTGTCTTTGAAATGAGGGACGTAGAGGCTCCTTGTTTGGTTTGGTTTGTTGTTTTTTTTTCCCCTACCGTCTACAAGTCTGAAAGCCTCCAGCCTGGCCTTTGGACCAGCCACGTTAGAGCAGAAAGGAGATATGGATTAATTTAAAGTCCTGAAGGTGAAATCCTGTCATGGTTCATGTTGATGTGCTCTACCAAGGTGTCACAGACCAGAATCTCACACTGAGTAATATTTGTTTCTTCCTGTCTCTTTTTGTTCTCTGCTCTCCATGTTGTCTCCTTGTCCCTGATGTCCAAGGTGCATGTTCTGCTGCTTGTATTAATTTTACAATACAACTCTTCCATGTCTTTGTTGTTTTGTTGTTTTTTTTTTCTCTCTCTGCCATTTCTTTTATCCTGCAATGAGCAAACAGAGCCAAGTCTGCAGGACTTTCTGCTCTTCTAACTGCATCTCAGCTCTTGTACTCTCCTTGCTGGAGATCAGGCCCTGAAACCAAGTGTAGGACCAGGAGAAGGTGTGTGTAGGGCAGTATGACCAGACTGTGATCTGGTTCCATTTAATTGCTGAGATAAAACAGTCAAAGCTCTCTGATCCTTGGTGGGAGCTCAAATGTTTCTGATAACTTTTGTGTTCTTCAAGGTTTAAGCTAACATTTTTGATTGTGTCTAGTGTTTTATTTTTCTTCCTTCCAGTCTTTTGTGTGTTCTGCTGAGTAGTTTTGCTTTCTTGGAGAGCTACTTATTTGTTAATTGTATGTCTTTAAGCAGCCTATATTTTGCATCTGGATATTCAGGGAAAATTTTTGGATTACAGCTGTGCCAGACCCCAGAAACAGAGAGGTGGAACTGCAGAAGAAGATGGAACTGTCCCTTGGAGCTATGCTTTATACTGGGTATTTCTTAAATCACCTCCAGCCTACAAATGACCATGAAATATGATGGTTTTGTCCATAATGCTCTCTTCAGATGATCAGTCTTTGCAGTCCATGCAACGTGTACAAGAAATTAATTCCTTCCACCCAGTGAAAAAGTAGCTCATTGCACTGTACTTGATGTTTGGGTTTAGGTTTTATTGTTTATTTGGGGGAGAAGTGGGGATAAAGACCCTGAAGAGCCTGCTGATATGTTTATGCTATGTCACAGTGTAATAAGCTAATTAATAACATGGTGAACAAGTTTAGCCAACTTTAAATTGCCAGGAGGAAGCTCTGGAGGGCTGTGACATGGGCCTGCTTGAACAAGGAACTGCCCTAGGGAGGCAGGCACGTAAACAGCAGGAGGAGTTTTGCAAAGGTTCTGCCAGGGGGTGGCTGTGCTGCTCCTGCCCACCCTTGGGGTGCTGTCATCCACAATTACAAAACTCCTGCTGTTCTGGACTGAAATGCAGAGGGGGAAGTCCTTGGGAAGCACTAAAATAATTTGGAAGTTTAGCACAAGAACTGTAACACCTCACAGAAGTGAAAGCACGGGGTGAGTGGCAGTGGTGACCACACAGCTGGTTTGTAGCAGACTGTTGTGACAATGCTCATTTGTCACAGAATAACCCCCTGAGGGAGGGTTGGGCTGTATATGGGATAAGTGAGAATTAACTGAAAAGGGCCTGATGACCTGGTTTGTCTTTTATTTTTTAAAAGTGAAAACTGTCTCCAGGCACAGGAGCTTGTTGCTGGGGACCCAGTCTTCTGTAGTGTGATCCCAGTTCCGGCTCCCACTGTGACAATGGGGTGTGAGGGCTACTCTGTGGTAAGAGCCTCCAGCCTTGCCCTTTTCATGCAGGAATTCTCATTTCTAGGGTTTGCACCTGTAAAATCCAGGCATGGTCCCCTATCTCCAGAAGGGCCATCAGAGATCTCCCAGCTTTTTAAAGCAGGTCCTGGTTTGTGCTGTCAGTGCTGTAACTCCTGAACTGTGATGTGTTCATCTGCCTTTTCAGAGATCTGGGCTGGGGCTTCTCAGCGTCCAGCCTGTTTGTGGCACTGTGAACACTCCTGGGGAACAGAGGGGATAAAAGTTATTTAACCAGCACTTGCCATCATGCTGGTTTCTACAGGTTCAGTATTTACAGATCAGTTAAACACTCCATAATATATGCCTCTGAATTAATACAATTGTTCCTGGGAATCTGCTGCTCCTGTTTATTGCTGTGGGTGTTGAACTTCTATTTAAGGGCTTGGGCTGTTGCAGAACATGGCTGGCAGGAGCTGGAGCTACACCCTCTGCCCTGCCTGACAGGATGGTGAGCCTTGCTCTGGGAAAAGCCTCACATGCCAGCTGCACCTTCCTTCCTCACTTTCACCTCCCCAGCACGGTGTTGCCACTTCCCCAGCTCAGCCCTGCTTCCCCACTTTCCAGGCAAGCAGGCAGGGAGTGCTGCCTGCTGCAGCTCTGCAGTCAGAGGTGTCCTGAGCTTTGCCAACAGGAATGTGCTCACAGGCCTTTCCACTGCTGCAGAAGTGACTTGAAATTGGGAGCTGATTTGTGTACACAGCTCTCTGAGAGCAGGGTGATCTCGGCCAAGCCAGTGATTTACAGCACCAGTCTTCTGAGTGGGTTTTGTTTTCTGAGTCCCAGCAAGTTTTAATTCCAATTGTGAGCGCTGTGTGATAAGCTGGCCTCTGCTTTCCTGTACTGTGTGTGCCCCCACCTTCCTGCCCTCCCTATTCCTGGGGCTTATTTGAAACAGAAGGTTAATAACTTGGAGTCTGAAGGCACATGGCTGAGAACTGATCCAAGCACTACTGGATTTACAAAAACCCAGCCTCAGACCCTTAATCCTTGCTAAACTGTCACGGTTTGGCGCAGCCGGTGTTCCTAAAGAGCTTCAGCCTGAACACTGAAAGCCCAAAGGTTGTGGTATCTTGGCAAATCCAGGTAAATCTCTGAGATGAGCTATGGGGAGGAGGGGCACTGCAGATCTGTTCACTGGGAGGAAAAAATGCAGCATCCCTGGGCTTGCCTCGAGGGTAGGCAGTGGGATGTGGTCCAGAGCTTGTTTTCCTGCAGTCCAGCCCTCATGTGCAGGCTGTGAAATGGTGTGGGTGGAACACCAGCAGTGCTGGGAGAGGAGGATGCTCACAGCTGGTTACCACAGTTGTGGTAAAGCAAAATTAACTTTCCCTCAGTAAAAAAACCTATTTGAGTGTTTCCTGTGAGGCAACTGACTCCTGGCTGGCTCCCCTGTGCTGCCCTCTCTCCCCAGGCAGTGGTGATGTTACAGGGTGGTTTTGGAAAACAAAAAAAGGCACTTAGTGGTCAGGCTGGCCCATGTGGCTGGGCTGGAGGGTGCTCAGCTGCTCCTGACAGGGCTGGGAGGGTGTCTGTGCAGCCAGAGCTCCCTGTGGCACTGGGGGAGGCTGTGGTGGGGGACTGGGCAAGCCAGGGGCAGGATCCAGCCAGCCAGGGGTCAGGTTTGGAGCTGGGGCAACATCTTGCAGCGTGGGTAATTCAAATTAGGCTCCTGGGTGGAGACTGACCTGTGCCCACACCTCATAAAGGTGTTTTAAAGGTGTGTGGGCTGAGTTCCATTTTCATGCATGTTGGGATGCTGCAGGCATATGTGTGGAGCTCTGCCATTGATGGAAAAGTGGGAGTGGACGGGATGGAACTGGAACCAAGCAGTCCAAGCCCGTGCTGCATCCCAAAAAGTGCAGGAGGGAGGCCGGTCTCCATTGCCGTGGAGGAGCGGGCAGAGGGCGGCTGTGCAGGCCCCGCGCCGGGCGGGAACAGCTCCACGAGATGGCAGCAGGACCCCTCTTTCCCGCATGGAGACATTTCTAGTCCAGGAGACAGCTGAGCCCATCCTGGCAAAGACCCCAACAGCACAGCTCAGCCCAGCGCTCCCGAGTGCCTGAGAGCATCTCCTGCAAAAGGTCTCCTCTTGGGGCAAGGAAAAAGACCAGCAAGAACTAACTCCGATGACAAGAACTAGAGACTGTGAGTTAATACAGAACAGCATCTCTCCCTAGGGCTGCCTGCCTCTGAATTTGTACTAGATCCCATTCCTCAGCTTTAACTGATTGTTAAAACCAAAAGTCTAGCAGCAGGAATAGCTTTCCTGCCCTTCTCACCTCAGCAGACCAGGTCATAGCACTTCCCTCTCCATCACCCAGGGAAGGCTATCTGTTTTTTAGATCAATCTCTGTAATAGTGTGATCAAGCAGACCATGGCCCAACTTCTGGGAGCTCCACGTTATCAGGACTCTGGAGCTCCCTTGGGTTCCCTGTAGTCCCCAAGCCCTGGGAAATAAGCTGAGCTTAGTCCTGCTCTTCTGAAAAGGCTGGCAGGACCTCCCAGCACACAGGGCTGGGGGCTGAGGATGCAATTAGAAAAGAGGACAGCACAAATGGGGGCCCACAGCCACCACCTAATCTGTCCTCTAATGCCCCCTTGTCCAGCACACCTGGACAACTCCTTCACCCAGCCTGGGGCATGAGCATCCCTCCATCCCCTTCCATTTGAATATCACCCCCCTCCTCTCATTTCTGCATGCTCATATGGCTGCAAGTGCACCCCAGCACCATCACAGACAAGCTATGTGGGCACAGCATCCTTCGGTCACCCTCCCAAACCTATGGGGGCTGGGGCAGGGAGAGCTTGGCCAGCCCTGCTGACAATAGGGTATTGATAAGGAATTAACCTTGAGCCCTTCTTGCTTCAGTGTCAATAGAGCAGGAGCCAAGTACACACGTTTGATTGGAAATCTGTGTTTGGCCTCTGCTGCCTCTGAGCCCATCGAAGGAGAGAGGAGAGGGAGATGTGAACTGCCCTGCTGCCCCCTCCCCACTGGGACCCCCTAGTGGATCCCTCTCAGCTTCCCCAGCCCCTGCTGCTGGAGTTGGCTGTGGGCACCCAGCTCTGGGGGCTGCAGCAGCCCTTGTGCCCCCAGCCTGGCATGTGGAGGGCTGGGTACCAGGGCCCCCCTTGTTCCCTAAAGGGCCTGTGCCCATCTTGCACTGGCCTACACTCCGAGCAGTTTGTTTAATTAAGTGTTTTGCCTAATGGGATTGCCTCATTTCCATAACAAACTGGCGGGCTGTCATTAGGTGGGCTCCCTCATTCATTACTGTTAATTAGATATGGATCCCCCAGAAGGCGGCGCGGGGTGATGAACGAGGCCCCTGACACACGCTATTACACATTAGCATTTTCTCAATATATCCGATACATCACGCTCCTCCGCTTCCTAAAGATATTTTAAATAAAATATTAGCAGCCTGCTGTGGGGTAGGTAGAGAGGGAGGGAGGGTTTCTGCCCTTCGCCCTGGCCTCAGGCCACCTTTGGGCTGGAGGTGGATGGGAGAGGGGCTGAGACGCTTCGCTGCTCCTCTCCAGCCAAAAAAGTGGCCGGATCCCACCTTCTCCCTATCCTTGCCACAGCAGATGGAAAGAGGTCCCTGACATCCTTGCTGCCTCCTCCCACCAGCCTGGGGACCCCCAGCACCCCATCCCTGGGGACACAGCCATGAGGAGGGGTTTGAGAACAGCCCAGTGACCCATCTGCAGAATGTTTGTAAACCAAAAGCGTCGGCGCCAGCCGCGTGCCGGGGGGAACCCGACCTCTGCCCCCCCGTCCCTGGGCTGGGGTAACCCTACACTGCACAGGGGCCCCTAATGCAGGATGTATGGATCTGTTGGGGCTGGGCGTCTCCTGCTCCCACCAAGGCAGCCGATGAGACTTCATTATGGGGGTGTCCCCTGAGGGGTGCCCTTCGCCCTGCCCTCCTGCTCTATGGGGGGACCAGTTGGGGGAACCCACCCGTGGTGGGGCCTGGCGCACGTCCCAGCATCCCCCTGCATCTGTCCCTGCATCCCAAACAGGACCAGGACTCCCCTCTGGGACATTACTCACGTCCAGGAGCTGCGGTGTGTGGTGGTGTCTCTGCTGCCTCTCGCCTGCAAAGGGAAACACAGAGAAGCAGAAAGCGCCCGAGAAGATTTATACTTGTTTAATTAATGTCAAATGTAGTTTACAAACGGGAGTGACAAGTACCTCTTTGTATAGTATACACTGACACACAATCATTGACACACCGGAATATCGCTTTGTGCAACTGGGATTCTTTGGGCAAAGATAGGTAACTCTGATATTTCACTTTTTCTTTTTTTAAATCATTTAAACTCATTACAGAAGAGGGGAAGTGGCGGATGCCTGTTACAAACTGGGATGCCTCTCTCCCCAGCCTTCCCCCTGCAGCTTCCCCCTTGAAAACAGGGGATGGCTTTACAATTTAAACAAACAAAAAAAAAAAAAAATTACCAAAAATAAACCCCAAAGCAAAGAACCAATGACTAGTTACATATGGTTTTACACATACGTACATAAAGCACACGGCTGGTCCACAACACCTGCCAGAGGGGCCCTGGGAGGGAGCTGGGCTATTTCCAAGGAAGGGCTGGGTAGGGGCCTCCTACCCTCTTGCCCTTCCTGGCTGTCTCTCAAACCCACCTGGCTGCAGCCTCTCCATCTCTGAGACTTTAACACCAGCACACTCCCAGCTGAGCCACGTGCCCTGCAAGGTTTTCTCCCTTTGCAAATCCAGCCTGAGCTGTGCATGCCTGCCCTTCCCCTGCCTCGTGCTGCCTGCTGCAGGGTTACCCCGCAGTGACAGCCCCTGCCTGCAGTCCCCCTGTGAGGGCAAGAGCCTCTGGGGTGCCCCAGCTTCCTCTGGCTCCCAGGAGCTCTGCTGGCACAGAGCAGAGGAGGCTGCAGCTCTCTGGTCTCAGAAGCCACACACAGATAGGAGCTTGCACACAAGGGGAACTCCCAATTAGGAATTGTCACCTTTTGATGAGATGTTTATGAAATAACAGCTCCTTCAGTTTCATTTGAGGTTTTTTTGGGTGCAGTGGGATCCTTCTGAAATCAGTCAGGAGGTGCCAAGGCTGCAGCTGTTCTCTGCAAAGAGTTCAGGGTAGGGAAGCAGTAGTGGGACTGTCACACTCCCCACACATCCTGCTTATCCAGTCCTTCCCTCTCTGGAAACACCCCAGCAGCGCTGGGACCCAACTCCCAACCCCTCATCCACTGCTTTTTCCAGACTGTCTTGAAATGTCCGGCTGTGTTGTGCTGCCAGGTGGGATCTGCTTGGAAAGGAGTGGGGCAGATGAACTTTCCCACTCC